TTGTGCAGCAGAGGGGGATTGTGTGGGGTGAGGGGAACGGGTGGGTGGCGGTGGGGAATGAGAAGGGAGATGGATCAGTAGTTGCTTCTTCTGGATCGGCAGCTTCCTCCCCCACGAGCGCGCCTCCCACTTGCTCTGCACCTCTGTTGGAACAAGCGCGGCGATGTGAGGGTAGAGGAAAGGCTAGTGGTGGAGGTGGGAATGGGTGGTGGTGGGGGTAGAGGATGGTACGGTTGCTTCTTTTGGATCAACAGCTTCCTCCCCCACGAGCTCGCCTCCCACTAGCTCTGCACCTCTGTTGGAACAAAGTTTGAAATGCGAGAGTGAGATGAGAAGGACGCGGAAGAGAGCGTTGGAGTGGGGGAGAGAGAGGATAAAGGATCTGACATCCCATCAGCCGTATGAGAATCGGCAGCACGAGAAGCATGCTCTCGCATACGACAAGGCTGAAACTTTCGTGAATGATGTTTCATCATATGGGAGCCGTGCTAACGGAAGGGGGAGATTCGGGGATAGTGAGCAAGAAGGGAAGGAAACTGGGGCGAGGGGGAGAGGCGGACGAGAACGAGGGGGAATGGGTGATGGGGGGTGATGAAGAGAAAGCGACCGACATCCCATCAGCCGTATAAGAATCGGCAGCACGAGAGGCATGCTCTCGCATACGACAAGGCTGAAACTTTTGTGAAAAGTGTATCATCATGTGGGAGCCATGCTAACGGAAGGGAGAGATTCGGGGATAGTGAGCAAGAAAAGAAGGAAGTTGACTTTTGAGTCGACTCAAAAGTCAACTCGGAAGGGAGAGACTCGGGGATGGTGAGCAAGAAGGGAAGGGAATGGGGGCGCGGGGGAGAGGCGGACGAGAACGAGGCGGAATGGTTGATGGGGGGTGATGAAGAGAGCGACGCCATTCCATCAGCCATACGAGAATCAGCAGCACGAGAGGAGCGGGGGAACGAGAGGGGAAGAGGCGGACGAGACCGAGGGGGAATGGTTGATGGGGAAGGGGAGAGGGGGAAGGAAAGGGGGAAGGAGAGGGGGAAGGAGAGGGGGAAGGAGAGGGGGAAGGAGAGGGGGAAGGAGAGGGGGAAGGAGAGGGGGAAGGAGAGGGGGAAGGAGAGGGGGAAGGAGAGGGGGAAGGAGAGGGGGAAGGAGAGGGGGAAGGAGAGGGGGAGGGAGAGGGGGGGAGAGGGGGGGGAGAGGGGGAAGGAGAGGGGGAAGGAGAGGGGGACGGGTACGAGGGAGAAGGGGGATGGTGATGGGGGGTGGTGAAGAGAGCAAGTGACATCCCATCAGCCATATGAAAATCGGCAGCACGAGAGGCATGCTCTCGCATACGACAAGGCTGAAACTTTTGTGAATGATGTTTCATCATATGGGAGCCGTGGAAGCGCGAGAAAGAGTGGACGCGCAGGGAAAGGAAGCAAGCGAGGAGGAGGAAAAAACAAAACACGAGGGTGGGGGAGGGGGGGAGGGGGGGAAGGGGGGGAGGGGGAGGCTTGGGGTTCAACTCTATCCCAAACAGACACAACCTGCAAAATCCCAAACCCTGATTCCCTCACCACCAGCTGCGATGGCAGCGCGCAGCTCCTTGTTCGTGGCGACTTTGGGAATGTCGACGGTCATGTCCAACTGGGAAAAGCAAACCCTACTGCAGCACCGCAATCAACCGGCAGAAAAAGGGCAGCACCACTCACCGCCGGCTTCGATGGCGGCGCGCAGCTCCTTCTTCGAGGCGGCCTTGGGAATGTCGATGGTGATGTCCGTCAGCGAGAGACGCTTGAAGTTGATCTGCTGGCGCTCCATGCCCGTGAAGTCCACCAGGGCCTGAAGGAAGGGGGGGGGGGGGGGCGCACGGGGAAGGGCACACGGGGGAAGGGACCAGGGGGAAGGGCGCAGGGGGAACCGGGGGGGTGGGGGGGGGAGGTCAGGAGAGGGGAGGGGGTGGTGTCAGCTTATGGTGTAATTGATCTGCTGGCGCTCCATGCACGTGAACTCCACCAGGGCCTGATGTTCCGCGGACAAGGGGGAGGGGAGGCGCACGGGGACCAAGGAACAGGATGCACGGGGAACGGGGAACAGGGCGCACGGGGGAAGGGCGCAGGGGGAACGGGGGGTGGGAGGAGGGGGTGGGGGAAAGGACTGGTGATGACTGCAAGCAAGAGCGATTGTAATTCATCTGCTGCCGCTCCGTGCTGACCATAAGTTCTTCAAACTATACGCCCACAGAACAAAGAAACTGGTCATGCCACGGCGGGTTCCGTGCCGAGAAAGGTGCGGACGGTAAGTAAAACGGCCTTGCGGCATCGAAATCTGAGGTGCATCGAAATATTCGCATCTTCACGCAAAACGAGATCCTCTACGGCAATCGCACCGTGGCTCCGATACAAGTGGCTGAACCCCCGACCGACGGGAATCGCCGAAACTCTAGTCGACGGGTATTGTTGAAACCCCGCTCAGGGTGAATCGATAAAAAAAACCCTACTTCGCGTGAACCGACGGTATCTAAGCAGTACCGTGTTCGCCCTGGTTGAACGCCGCGAATCTATAAAAAACCCTGATTCGCGTTAAATGAGGAATAAATGAAACCCTCATTGAACGCCCGTGCTGCGCAGTACCGTAATGATCCTGGCCGCTGGTGATCCCTGGCTGTATAAAAATTCCCTCGAAAAGGTCACCGACTAAGCTATAGTGGATCATCGCCAAAAAATGGTTCCTCCGCTGCCGCTGTGAACATGCCTGTTCAAGCCTGCCCTCGACACGCCTGCTTAAAACACGCCTGCTTATCTACGCTGTCAACACGCCTGCTGATATCTGCCAACGCCGCTCTAAGTGATTTCATTCAGCTGCAGTAAGATTGCTGTGACCTAATACGCTTTCTATCCTAATGCACAGACTATTCACCGTTCGCGTAGCCCCGTTTTCGCCTAGCCTCCTTCCGAAACAACTCAGAGTCACGTTGTTCGCGTCTGCTGCAGCAGATTCGATGTGACGCAATACACCCTCCCTCCTGATGCACCTCCTATCTGCCGTTCGCATAATCCCTTTGATTAACCGCCTTGAAAATACGCCGTTCGCGTCTGCTGCACCAGAACCGCTGTGACGCAATACACCCTCCTCCTGACGCACAGCCTATCCACCATTCGCTTCACCCCTTCCATAACCGACTAAAAGTTGCGTCGTTCGTTGCGGCCGCACCAGAATCGCATCCTAACACACCGTCTCAGCTCCGTATCCTGCGCCGCAGTGATTCACAAACGCGTATGCCGGCAGCTCCCTTCTCCCGACTCGCCCTGACCTCCTCTAACTCTCCAGTGATAGCCCGTGTTTCTAGATAATGTCGACGAAAAGAAGGCGTCACGGTACATGGGGTATGGACTAGTGGCCATAGGTTCCCCTCCTTGTCGGAACATCATTATTTGTCGGTGAGCAGAGTCAACACAGTCGATAGGGTCAACGGGGTCAGCGTGGTCAAAGCGGTCAACGGCTCCTGCTCACACTGTTTTGGCCGATGATATCGACGACGACGACGAGCTTGCCGTACATGTGGTGCCTCATACCTGTAGGTCAATGGGGTCAACGGGGTCAACGAGGTCAACGCGGTCAACCACTCCTGCTCACCCTGTTTTGGTCGATGATATCGACGACGACGACGAGCTTGCCGTACATGGGACCGAAGTTGACCATGCACACCCGGCCCACCTCCATGTATCTCCGGAACGGCTGATTAAATCAAGGAGAATGAAAGGCCACAGTGAAGGTTGGAATGCGAACAACGGATCAACATTCGTGAAACGACAAAAAAAATGGAAACAAAAAAGTAGGCGACACGGATGAAGAATCTGACAGAAACGAACGGGAATATGATCGAACTGTCACGGATAGAGCCCAGTCGCGGAGGTAGGAGTTGCAGCAATGCTATTAAGAAGCTTAATCGTCAACGATTTTTCTCGGAAACCCTAAAAAGAGTCCAGAACACCCTGACGAATTTTTCCCGCGTCATTCTTTTTTACTCTCAACAAAACTGTCAGTATTACGCTCCAAGAAGGCTATGGATCGGCAACTAACCATTTTGGCTGATTTTAGGTGGAGCGACTATCCACGGGGAAGGGGAGGAGAGAGGACGGAGGAATTAGTCCTGTGCTGTGCAGACTAAGGGAAAAGAGCCTAAGTTAGGGGCAGCTAGGAGGCAAATACGGGAGGAGGCGGAGAGGCAGGAGCGAGCACGAGCGGAGGGGACAGAAAGGTGAAGGGGAAAAAACAAGTTGGAGGGGAGGGGGGGAAAGGGGGGGGTGTGTGGAGGGGGGTGCGGGGGTTGGAGATCAGGGGAAGAATGCTGCGGTGAATGGGGATGGGAAATTTGGGGGAACTGAGGGGGAACAAGGAATTCCCGAGGTGTCGAGGGGGTTGGGGATTTTGGGGAAAGAAGGGCTGAGACCGAGGGAGCGGGTGGGGTAACGGGGTTGGGAGTGAAGGGTAGTTCTTGGTGGCGCACCACCTGTCCTCTTTATACAGAGATCTTTATTCATTTCACAATTTTCTGCTGCCAGGTCTTACAATGCAGAAATGAGAACCCTCTCAGAGTCCGAACTTCAACTATGATTTTTGCTGGTTGCGATAATTACAGGCGTTTCACGCTGACCAATAAAAATACAGCAGCGGTCGCTGACACGCGACACGCATTTGGGACACAATACAGTTTATGCTGTTTTTGGGTGTCACAAAGTGTTTGAAGCACAAATGTCCACACAGGAATGTGCCCCTGAGCATAGCTAACACGCGACAGGTAACAGTAGGTATGCAAAACTTGATAACTCGCTCTATCTCCAGCTTGCCATGAGATTGTTAGTGGATGTATAAAGTAACACAAAGAAGTGTACAACATAACGGCTTCCTCTTTTCACCCCTGGGAACCCCCACCCTCCAGCCTATTTTTGGAGATTTTTTTTTCCCCCGTTTCCTTGCATGGCCTACACGAAGGTCTATTACACGTTTCAATTGCTTTACACTGCTAGCTGAACGTTCTCCAGCTGCCCTGCAAGCTCGTCAAACTGAACAAACCAAAAAAAAGAGAAACGCAAAGCAAATGGAAGAAAATGTGAAGGATGGTTGATTCAAGAAGACCACAGACGTCCAACCGCGCACACACCAGCACCACCACACAATCCCCCACCATACACGGCCCACAGCACCTCAGTAAGTACCTTGAGAATGTGCTTGATGAAATAGTCTCCGAACCGCCTCGTGGTCTTGCGATCAACCACTTGCACCAGGTCCTGAGGGAGATAGTCACAAGGGCGCGATAGTCACAAGGGCGTATGGGGAGAGGGGAGGGGGAGTGTGGAGGGGGAGCGCGGAGGGGAGGGAGTGTATTGGAGAGGAAAGGAAGGGTATGGGGAGAGGGAAAACCGAGGGAGAGAAGTTCGAGGGGGTATGGGGGAGAGGGGGAAGCGGAGGGGGAAAGGGGAAAGGGAGGGGAAGTTTGTTGAGGGAAAATAAGGGGGAGTGTAGTGGGGGGGGGGGGGTCTTGCGTATGAAAGTATATTGAGAACTTATCAACTCAAATGCAGCTCACAGGTGGGAAGTGGGTACGAAGAGTCTCATGAGATCATCCCACATAATGCTCACATCACCCCATGCACTGCTGACATCAACCCACGCACTGCTGACATCACCCCATGCACTGCTGACATCACCCCATGCCCTGCTTACATCATCGATGTAGAAGTCCAGCTCAGCATTGGGCAGCACCGAGCCATCCGCCTCCACAACCGTGTTCTTATGGCGAAGGGTGATTAGAGCAGTCCTGGAAGAGTGGTGAGTGGTATTAAGGAGTCGAGAGTGGTACAGAGGTGTGCAGAGTGGTGGAGAGGTGTGCAGAGTGGTGGAGAGGGGAGAACCAAAGAATGAGTACAGCGAGAGCATAGGGCAGTACCAAGCACGGCGAAAGCTGATTATGGGAACAGCGAAAGCATTAGGCAGCACCTGAAAGCTCCTGAATTTTGAGAGATTGGAAGCTCAGGAAACACATTGCAGACTCACCTGCAGAAACAAACACCTGACAACACCACCTGCTACTTCACCTGAAACCCCACCTGACAAAATTCACCTGAAGCGGCACCTGAGGAACCACCTGACGGCTCACCTGAGGGTGGTCTCGGAAACATCCAGGAAGGTGGAGAGGCGGGGCAGGGAGATGGCGGAGTAGAGAGAGAGAGAGCGGATCGCAGCCCTGGGAGGGCGAGCTGGGAGCGCACATCGGCCAGAAACAGCTTCAGCTGCAGGCGGTAGGCATCCTGGTAGTGGGGGGCAGGGTGGAGTGGGGTGCAATGCAGTAGATTAGGATGCAGTGGGGTGGGGTGGGATAAGAGGCTTAGTAAGCATCAATAGCAGGCCTGGCAGGGTGAGCTGGGAGCGCACATCTGCCAGGAAGAGCTTCAGCTGCAGACGGTAGGCGTCCTGGTAGTGGTGGGCACGGTGGAGCGGAGTGGGGTGGAGTAGGGTGGAGTGGAGTGGGGTGGGGTGGGATGAGAGGAAGGAAGCAGCAACAGCAGCCCTGGGAGGCAGGGCGAGCTGGGAGCGCACATCTGCGAGAAACAGCTTCAGTTGCAGGCGGTAGGCGTCCTGATGGGTGGCAGGGGGTGGGGTGGGGTGGAGTGGGGTGGAGTGGGGTGGAGTGGGGTGGAGTGAGGTGGACTGGGGTTGGGTGGAGTGAGGTGGAGTGGGGTGGAGTGAGGTGAAGTGGGGTTGGGTGGAGTGGGGTGGGATGAGAGGGAAGGAAGCAGCAACAGCAGGCCTGGCAGGGTGATGTGGGAGCGCACGTCCGCCAGGAAGAGCTTCATCTGCAGGCGGTAGGCGTCCTGATGGGTGGCAGGAGGTTGGGTGGGATCGGGTGAGGGTGGGGACTGGTTAGGTGGGATGGGGTGAGGGTTGGGGTTGGGTGGGTGGGGGTTGGGGTTAAGGAAGCATCAATAGCAGCAGGGCGACCTGGGAGCGCGCGTCAGCAAGGAACAGCTTCAGCTGCGGGCGGTAGGCGTCCTGAAAGGGGGCGGAGTGCGGTGAGGTGGGGTGGGGTGTAGTGGGATGGGTTGGGGTGGGGTGTGGGAAACCAGCGGGAAGACAAGGGGGAGGGGGGGAGGGAGGGGGGAAAGGAGGAGGGAGGGAGGAGGGGTTTGAGAGGGGGGAGGGAGATGGCAAGTTGTTGACATGACTGGTTGCACTTGACCAGCTCTCCCCTGTCCTCCACCGGAGGGGCAGGGCATGATAGGCTAGGCAAAGCATCGGTTACAGACAGTCAGTTACAGAGACAGCATGGGTATAAAGCGGTGTAATGCGGTACCTGGTTGTAGTTGACCAGCTCTCCCCCGTCCTCCACGGGAGGGGCAGGCGTGACAAACTTCGGGCAGGCGAACGAAAACAGCTCGTCGAAAACCGCCTCGTCACCGCGCTGCATCCTCTGGATCTTGTCCGAAAACTTTTCGCGCAGCTGCCCGTTGACGCTCTCCTCCAGAAGTTTTCCGTTCGGGCAGAGTGAGAGGCAGATGGCAAGAAGCGCGTACATCTGTTCGGTCTTTTTGAGGATCTGGTCGTATTGGGGGAGCGACTCGTGGTACTGCTTGGCCTTGGAGAGCGTCAGCAACACCTGGTTGAAAGCCCTGATAGCGTCCACGTACCTGGGAGGGAGTGGAGGGGAAAGCGCATATGATGGGTGTGCATGTTAAAAAATGAATCTGGTCGTGGTACTGCTTGGCCTTGGAAAGGGTTAGGAGCGCACCAGGAGCATGGGACTGCTGGGCTTTATGTCAACCCGCCTGCATCCACCCTGACTCCCCCCTCCCCTGCCTTTCCCCTGTTTTCCCCCTGCCCCAGCCAACCCCTCCTTTCCCCGTGCCCCCACTCCGATTTTTAAAATTGAAACTCCTTTTGCTCACCTGCGCAGCATCAAACTCGCGAAGCCATAGTAGTACATGGCGGTGATGTGGCAGCCTGTGATTCGCTGGAACACGCCCGGCCTCCCAACATCAATAGGGGACAGCTTCACGAGGCCCGTATGATAATCCCCCAGCAGGCAGTGCACGCGCAGCAGCCCCACCAGAGACAGGTACCCCAGCACGCGCTCCACGTTGCTGCCCCCCGCGCCCGTCATGTCGTAGCCCTCGGTGGCCAGGAACATGGCTGCTGCCCCTCCGTCCGAATCGTCATCCAGGATGGCCAGGATGTTGGATTTGGCCACGAGAGCATGTAGATAGTTGAGAACTCCGTAGACATTCCACACCTGCAGGAAGAAAGCGGGGGGACACAGGGGAAAGAGGAGTAGGCGACAGGGTGAGGATGGGGGCAAGGGGAGCCAGAGACAGGTACCCCAGCACGCGCTCCACGTTGCTGCCCCCCGCGCCCGTCATGTCATACCCCTCGGTCGCCAGGAACATGGCTGCTGCCCCTCCGTCCGAATCGTCATCCAGGATGGCGAGGATGTTGGATTTGGCTACGAGGGCGTGCAGATAGTTGAGCATTCCGTAGACATTCCACACCTGCGGCAAGAGGGGAAGGAGGGTGTGGGGGAGAGTGGGTCAGCATGAGTGGGTTTCCGTCCAAAATAGCCAGGATGTTGGATTTGGCTACGAGGGCGTGCAGATAGTTGAGCACACCGTACACGTTCCACACCTGAGGGGGGAGATGGGGGAAACAGGAAAAGCAGAGAGGAAAAAGGGGTTTAGGACGGGGTCGAGGAGAGGTACCCCGGCACCCGCTCCACGTTGCTGCCCCCCGCGCCCGTCATGTCATACTCCTCCACATTGCTCTTTCACGTTGCTTCTCCTCGTCGGTGTGGCTCTTCACTCACGCACAGAACTGGCACAAGGACGAACGAGCGCGTGCAGGTAGAAGGACTGGCACTGGTAGATGAACTCAGTCTCGTCCACACCCTCCCCACCGTGCCTGCCCCCTTTTGACAGCCACGCGACCAGAGACAAGAGCACTCACATTCCCGCACTGCTTCAGGGCAGCATTCTCCTCATCGGTGCGGCTCTGGACTGGGGCGCGGAAGTGATAGAAATCATGGAACTGGTAGATGAACTCGTCCACCATGTCCCACCCATAGACCAGGGACCAGAGAAAGAGAGACCAGAGACCAGAGACCAGATTACTCACTCACATTGCCGCACTGCTTCAGGGCAGCATTCTCCTCCTCCGTGTGGCTCTTCACGCGCGCACGGAAATGACAGAAGGACTGGAACTGGTAGATGAACTCGTCCACCATGTCCCACCCATAGACCAGAGACCAGATCACTCACATTCCTGCACTGCTTCAGAACAGCATTCTCCTCGTCGGTGCGGCTCTTGACGTGTGCCCTGAAGTGGCAGAAGGACTGGAACTGGTAGATGAACTCGTCCACCCCCTCTACGCCCTGTACCAGTCCCACAGCCATGACCAGAGACCAAAACACTTACATTGCCGCACTGCTTCAGTGCTGCGTTCTCCTCGTCCGTGCGGCTCTTGACTCGCGCGCGGAAGTGGCAGAAAGACTGGAACTGGTAGATGAACTCGTCCACCATGTCCCACAGCCACGCGTTGGGCAGCTGTACGTTCAGGTTGCCCAGCAGCACCACCTGGGAGGACCGGGGGACAGGGTTTAAACGGCCAAGAGGGTTTAAACGGCCAAGAGGGTTTAAACGGTCAAGAGGGGTTAAGAGGTTGGCAGAAAGACTGGAACTGGTAGATGAACTCGTCCACCATGTCCCACAGCCACGCGTTGGGCAGCTGCACGTTCAGGTTGCCCAGCAGCACCACCTGGGAGGACCGGGGGACAGGGTTTAAACGGCCAAGAGGGTTTAAACGGTCAAGAGGGGTTAAGAGGTTGGCAGAAGGACTGGAACTGGTAGATGAACTCGTCCACCATGTCCCACAGCCACGCGTTGGGCAGCTGCACGTTCAGATTGCCCAGCAGCACCACCTGGGCGCGCAGCAGGGGGACAGGGTTTAAATGGCCAGGAGGGGAGGGGGAATGGGGAGGAGGAGGTAACGGAGCATGGGAACCAGAACATTGATATTGGGTTTGAATGGTCGGGATGGGAGGAGATGTAGGAGGGGAATGGGTGGGAGAATTGGAAGGAGTATGGAAGTGACACTCAAAGAAATAGGAGCGAGAATGGGACGGAAAACGTTGAGATTGCCGAGCAGCAGCGTCCAGGAGCGAAGGAGGAGCATGGGGGATCAAAGAGCAAGGGAGGGGTGTTAACGGTCGGGATGGAAGGGGGATGCGCTGTAGGATAGGTGGGAAAATGAGAGGGAGAATGGGAACCGGAACATTGAGATCGCCGAGCAGCACCTGGGCAAGCAGGGAAAGAGGGGGGGAGAGCAAGGACGAGGGGGAGGGGAGGCGGGATGAGGGGGAGAGAGGGGTAGGGTGCGGAGGAGGGGGTATTAGAACGGGAGTAAAGTAATTAGAATCACAAAGGAGTTTGAGGAAGCATAAATACACGCCGCTGCCGAAAGTCACCCTTCCCAACCCTAGCGAGCAAGCCCAAATGTCGCGAATGGCGCACTCGTGCAAATGCCATCCTAAAACATAGACAACAAGCATAATTACGTTCTCGTATTCGTTGAAAGCTCTCCTCCTACTTGAATTCAGCTTCAGTGTGTGTCTCTCTCTCACTTGGTGCGTATTCCTCAACTACTGGATTAAATAACCAGTCTGGCGTAGAGTTGACTTTTGAGTCGACTCAAAAGTCAACTACTGGATTAAATAACCAGTCCGGCGTACCCCTCTCCCAGCCATGTTTGGAAGTCCTTGAACGCTGAACAAGGTAGTTAACCTCCCTGAATGAGCATCCCTGACTTCCACTAGCTCGAAATATCACAACACCGGACCCAATATAGACATTCAACCTCCTGGTCCTCTTTAGATTCAAGTTCCTCCAACCAAGGAACAGGCGATAGTTAGAATTCCCATTAAGCGTCGCTACCAGAATAGGCTGCAGTATTTCTCTCAAGACTCGTATAGGCAATTTTCTTTTGGCCTTCTCGACAATACGAACAGTCACATTCCATTAGCATTCAATACCTGGAACAGGCTGCAGGGGTTCTTCGAGATATTGAGAAAGTAAAAGTACTGTATCTTAAACGTCTCAGACATACGAAGACTAAATAATACCGTCACAGTTTCTGTCAATATTTCCGTCAACGTTTCCGCAAGAAATGCCGTCAATAATTCCGTCAATATTTCCGCTAGTATTTCCTCGAATCTTCCCGTCGATATCTCCTACCTGGAACAGGCTGCAGTAGTTCTTCCAGGACTCGTCTAAGCATGACAATGAAACATAACTACCGTTGCAATTCTTATTGAACCGCACTAGAATCCCCTACCTGGAACAGGCTGCAGTAGTTCTCCCAGGACTCGCACCGCTGCTCCAACGTCGGCTGGAGCCGCGCGAACACGTGGCGGAAGTACAGCTCGCGATACAGCAGGCAGAACACGTGGTCGTGATCCACCACCGGCGCGATCGCTTCCGCAGTGGGCCACGGCGATTCGCTAAACAGTCGCTGCGATAACTTGTGGAAGCTGTTCTCGTACATCTGGTGGATCTCGTACACGTTATTCTCGCGAATGTGACGGTAGAGGAACGCGACGAACGTCTTAACGACGTCGGGAACGCCGTCGTTGTCGGACGACGCGGTCGGATCGCCGTACGGCGCATCGCGATCGTCTAGGTCGTCGAAAGTGGGAGTACCGCGGGTGTACCGATCGTACGCCATCTTCAAGCCTTAGGATTCTAGATAAAAGAAAAAGAGAAGTCGGCCTGAGCCGATAATCTGAGAACTGTGATAAGCGTATGAATCGGTAACACCAAGGTGCAGACACACGGGACAGGATCTATGGGAGCCGAGGCGCTAAGGGATGGTGGCTCCGATTAGGAGGGGGAGAGAGGGAGGGGTGATGAGAGGGAAGAGGGGTGAAGAGGAGGAAGATGAGATTCGATAGAAGGTGATCAGATGAGCTGTATCAGCCTAAAGTGATGGATGGAAACATATGCCTATCATATAAATCTTGAAATGCAGACGGTAATCTTTATTATGTTACCCTCAGCGGAACCTCTATCTAAGTCTGGAAATTTCACACGACAAATTCTCTTGTTGGTTATGTTACGGCATGCTCTTAAATATGCAATTATAAACGTTTAGATATGAGAAATCAAAACGAAATTCTAAGCAAATACCTCCGGATTGAAATAAACTTCCGCTAGGTAAACTGAACAACTGAAGTATCACCATTTACTGGGTAAAGGTTTGGCTACACATGCATAACCTGGGATGCACCAAACCACGCTAATGATTCCTTCCCGTTACTCCCTGGCACCTTTGCCCTCCCCATGCTTCCACGCAGCACCCTCCTCATCCTACCCACCACCACTGTCACTACCACCTACTGTAAAGATAACACCGTTTCACCCGCTACCGTCACCACCTGCTGCAGCGACAACCCCAAGTCATTTCCCAGGGCCTCCACTGAGATGGGCTGGAGCATGCTCCATGCCCTTAAAATACGAAAGGAGTGTAGCCCAGATCTCCATTAAGAGTCAGCTTTAAGTCTTTGTCTGGAATCTCCACTGAGATAAAGGCTGGGGCATACCCCGTGCCCGTGGAACCTTAAAGAGTGGCATCCTAAGGGGGTCTGTATCACAGAAATCCGTTTCTGTCCGTACACTGAATTGCTCCTGGCAGCTTGGCTTTTCCAAGGGACCCATGCTGCACCCTTCTCATACCAGCCACCACTGTAACCACCTGCTGCAGCGACAGCTTCAGGTCGTTTTCCCGGATTTCAACTGAGATGGGCTGGGGCATGCCGCGAGCTATGGAGGATGCTACTAACGCTGCACTGGTGGTGCTAAGAGGGAAATACATGCTGCTGCTGCAGCTGGTGCTGTTCCTGGTGCTCCTCCTTCTGAGATGGTTTGGGACATGCCCCGTGCTATGGAGGATGCTACTAACGCTGCGCTGGAGGAGCTGAGAGGGAAATAAACGTCCTCCCCTGCTGCTGCAGCAGTCCCAAGTCATTGTCCAGATTATCCGCTGAGATGGGCTGGGGCATGCCCCGTGCCGCCCGAATCCTGACACAGCATTTCAGGGAAAACCGTTTCTGTCTGCAAAGTGAATTGCTCCTGGCAACTTAGCCTTCCCCAGCGCCCCGTGCTGCACCCTTCTCATCCCAGCAACCAGTGTAACCACCTGTTGCAGCGATAATCTCAGGTCGTTTTCCCGAATCTCCACTGAGATGGGTTGGGGCATGCCCCGCGCTATGGAGGATGCTACTAACGCTGCACTGGTAGCGCTGAGAGGGAAATACATGTCCTCCCCTGCCGCCGCTGCTGCTGCTACTGCTGCTCCTTGTGCTGCTGCTCCTAGTGCTCCTTCTACTGCTGTTGCTTCTGCCAGCGATGGTGGTGGTGGTGGTGAAGGTGGGGATGGTGCTGCTGCTTCTGTTGCTGGTACTGATGCATTTGAATCGGACAAAGGAGACACTGTCCGAAACAACCTGCACCGCCCACTCTCCCCCACCTCCACAAACGTCCCTCGGGCACCAACCCTACCCAACACCTTCTTAACGCACTCAACCTCTCCCTCCTGAAACCGCCCACGCCGCATCACCACCACCCTGCCCCCCCTCACGTCCTCCTCCCTTATCGCCCGTTCCAGGGCCGCGGCAGGTACTGCCTCCCCCGCTACAGGACAAAGCCCGGGCACAACCCTCCGAACATCGCCTCTCGGCCCAAAGATTGAAATCACTGCCGGCTCATCCCACTCCAGCCCTTTCGGGACCGAGGGAGTTGAGGGAGGTGAGGGAGATGAGGGAGTTGAGGGAAATGAGGGAGATGAGGAAAACTCATCCCTATTCAGAGACCCTGAAGAGTCACCAGGAGGTGAGGGAGCATGGGCAGGAGAGGAGGGAGCATGGGCTGAAATGCCGATTATGCAGTCGGTGTATTCAACAAATCCCGGAGAGAGAAAGTAGGGTAGAGCACCGGCTTTTACTGCAATTTTTTCCACGGAGGAGGAGAGGAGGGAGGTGAAGTAGGTGCGGGAGTCATTTGGAGTGGCGAAGGTGGTTGGAGTGAGCATGTGGGATGGGAGAGGGGAGGAGATGGTAGGTTCTTTGCTTCTGCTGCTGCTGCTGCTGCTGCTAGTGTTGTCAACACATGTGTTCATACCTCCATACAAATCCTCAATCCCTCCAGTCGCATGCTGCAGTGAGCGCCACACAACAGCAGCAGCATTCGAGCCCTGCTCCCCAATGCCTTTCCCGAAACCAGACACCAGGACAAGAAACTCCGTCCCTGTCTCTTTCAAGATGCGCACCTCTTGATTCATGAACCGCCTGAACTCCTCTTCATCATCACTCGAATCCTGCTGCAATCCTCCTCCTCCTCCTCCTTTTAACCCTGATTCCGTCTCTGCTGCTTTCAATCCCTCCTCCGATCTCCCTTGCTCCAAAGTCGTGTTCCTAGGTTCCCACACTATCTTGCGCATTTGAGTCCTCTCTGCACTAGCTACACCCATCTGGCGCAGCTGACCCATCATCTCCTTTATAAACAGCTCCGAGTCAGCGTATAAGGCAGGTAGCTTACCAGGGGGGGACACGTACAGTAGACCTATTTGAAGAGGGTTTTCTGGAATTTGGTACATCCCGTGTCGATGGATGGCTTTCCGAATGAATGTGACCGACTCATCCACGGGCAGCAAAACCTCTCCACCCACTTCTTTCGACTGCCCGTTCAGTTCGGCCTTGAGAACTGGACCAGAAACCAGCTCCGGGCAGATGAAATTTTGACTGATCAGCAAAGAGGCAATCTCTTGAATCTGCACGAATCGGGATCTGGGAGAACGGATGGATGTGGAGTTTACCATTCGTACGCTGCCCATATCAAACCCTAATTCTCTCAAGACTTTCTCGTTCTCCGGGCAGATGACAAGTTCCAGGTACTCGGGCAGCCAGTGAAAACCGTCCGCGACGAAAAGAACCGTCGACGGTTCAGCCTCTTCGAAACGTTTTCGAATCTCCTCCGTTGAGGTAACACGCATGAGCCATTGATAAAGCTGCCCGGATTTTGGACCAAGCTGCTCCAATGCTGTTATCAGAGCAACTTTGGACCGGAAAGGTGTTTTCACAAGGGCATCAAGAAGCTTACTGGGTGAGCTTATAGCGAGAATTTCTTTCAAGGGAACCCCACGCCTGCTTCTGATGTCGATAACAAGAGCGGGCTGCCCGAAAAAAGAAACTGAAGAGAAGGACGGAACAGGTTTCAGAATTCTGTTCACATCCATGCTAATGCTGCTGCCACTGCTGCTGATGTTACCAGGGCTGCTGCTAAGGCTGCTGCTGCCCATGCTGTAACTGCTTCCTCCCACATCAGCCAGCTGGCATTCCAATTCCACCTGGCGGTACAGCAGCCTCGCCACGTCACCACTGCTCACAGTCCAGTCTTCGGCCCCTTTTGAAGCAACCGTTACATCTCCTGTGCCTGGCGTTTCATCTGATGCGGGCCCCGTTACATCTGCTGCTTCCCCTGTTACATCTGCTGCAGCCCCAGTTACATCTCCACTTGCCACAACACCAGCCACACCCCGTGTCTCATAAGACCTTCCTGAGTACTTTAGTCCTGCCACCACTCCCTGTAACTCAGGAGTTAACTTATCCAGTAACTGGCTCTCACTAAAGTGCTGCTGACTCTTAGTTAAATGCTGCTCACTCTCACCTAAGTGCTGCTGCTGACTCTCACTTAAGTGCTCAGAATATGCCTTTCGCAAGCACAGCAGAGCGTTGTGACTGGGAACGTACACAAACGAGACGCTAAGGACTGAAGTTAGGCGGTATGCAAGCCTGCTCCCAAGCGTGGGTTGGTGTGGGGCGTTTGCAGGCCAGGAAACTTGGTAGCGGTCACAGGCGAACTGAGAGGCGAAGGCTGGGCGATGAGGGGAGGGGGAGGGGAAGAAGGAGGGAGGAACGATCAGGGGTGAAGAAGGGCTGTTCCCCAAAGTCGGTTAGTGTGGGAGAAGGACGATTGGAGGCCAGGCGACGAGGTAGCGATCACAGGCGAACTGAGAGGCGAAGGCTACAGATTAGAAGAAAGGCAAAGGGAAAGAGGCAGGACGCGATAACTGAGGGAAAGGGAAGGACGACAGGGAAACAACGGGCATGGGAAGAAGGTATGCCGAAATGGCATGGGAAGATATAGGCGTTTTCAGAAATGCGCGCTGGTTTTTGAGAATTCTCAAAAACTAGCTCGTATCATGGGAAGGTGGTCTGTCGAAATAGCATGGGAATAAATAGGCGTTTTCAGAAATGCAGACACATGTAGTGCAGCGCATGTGGGAACGCAGTGCACGTGGGAGTTTATGAGGGGAGGAGAACGGAAGAGGGTTGTTATGGACTTGCTTACCGGGATTGAAGCGGTAGATGTTGCTTAATGTGACTCCAGCATCGGTGCTATTGTCGCTCACAGTGCTCCCACTGCTGCTACTGCTACTGCTGCTGCTGCTGCTGCTGCTCCCACTGCTGCTGCTGCTTCCAGGCTCAGTAGCGACAGTTGTGCTGACACTTCTGACATTTCTAGTGTACACCTTCCCACTCCCTCTCTCGGTCTCACCTCTCCTCCTGCTCTCGCTGCTCGTCCAACCCTCACCACTCCTTCCACTCAACGCTCTGATTCCGACGGTAGCGCTGCTGCCGTTTCTGCTGTAACCAAGAAGGCCATTTCCAT